TGTATGCGCTGGAGCATGTCTCCTCTGAGGCTCTGGGGAACTATGATTTTCTCTCCTTTGAAGAGTATTCCATCCATCTCAGAAATTTCATCTCGGTGGTTCCAATACTCCTGGATGTCAAACGGGCATTTCCTCCTTTCGTCGGGCCATCCGTTCTGTGTGACTTTTCGGAGTGTAGCGAGCTGTGCATCTTGTGCTGTTGCATCTTTGATCTCCACTAGCTTGCTGTCACTCACTGGAACAGTACTTATGAGTGTATGTACCTGTGCTTCCATGCTTTCCATGAGGCTGCGGTCTTGGTGCTCAATGGATTTCCGGGACAGGGTGTCGGCCACTGGGATGTCCTTTCCGGGCCGGTGGATGATGTGGATGTTATATTTCTGAAGCTGTAGTATCATCCTCTGTAGTCGCGGTGGTGCTGCAGCCAGCGGTTTTCGGAGGATTGCTTCCAGAGGTTTGTGGTCAGATTCTACAATCACACTACGGCCATACATGTATTCGTGGAAACGCTTACAGCCGAATAAAACTGCATATAGCTCCTTTTCTATTTGGGCGTAGTTCACTTCGGTGCTGTTTAGTGATTTGGAGGCATAGGCAATGGGTTTACCGTCCTGGAGGATGACAGCACCGAGGCCGCATTTTGAGGCATCTACTTGGAGTCTGAGTTCTTTTCGTGGGTCAAAGTATGCGAGCACAGGGTGATCTGTTATCAGTTTTTTCGTCTGTGTGAATGCTTTGTCGTGGTTTTTGTCCCATAAAAATTCAATGTCCTGCTTTAGCAGTTGGCGTAGTGGTGCGTTTATCTCAGAGAGGCGTGGTGCGAATCTGGCCAAATAGTTAATCATCCCAAGGATGGTTTCCAACTCCCCTTTGCTTGTGGGTGGCTGCATTTCTTGTATCGCCTTCACCTTCGCCGGGTCTGGCTTGACGCCTTCTCGTGAGAGCGTGTGACCGAAGTAGCTGACCTCTGATACGCATATTTGGCATTTGTCGGGATTTAGCTTTACCCCTCTTTCTCTTGTGCGCTTCAGCATGGCCTTGAGGTTGTTGTCGTGTTCAAGCTTTGTCTTACCGAAGACGAGTATGTCGTCGACGATGGCAGCTACACCTGTGAGGCCTTCATATGTCTCGTCGACGCGCCTTTGGAATTCGTCTTGGGCTGAGTTGATCCCGAATGGTAGCCTCAGGAACCTGTATCTGCCGAAAGGGGTATTAAATGTTGTTAACAGGGAGGACGCTGTGCTCAGCTTTATGGCCCAATAGCCTGATCTGGCATCGAGGACGCTGAAGTACTGCGCTCCGGCGAGCTTTGTGGTGACATCTTCTAGAGTCGGCAAGGGGTAGTGGGGCCTTTTTATTGCCTTGTTGAGGTCCCTGGGGTCCAGGCAGACTCTCAGCTTGCCAGTCTGGGGTTTTTCGACGACTACGAGGGCGTTAACCCATTCTGTGGGCTCTGTCACTTTGCAAATTACATTGTTCTCTTCCATCTTGTCGAGCTCTTTTTTCAGTCTGTCTCGTAGAGCGATCGGTACCCTTCGTGGTGGGTATACTACTGGTGTGGCGAGTGGGTCGATATGGAGGTTGCACTCCCCTGGGAACTCTCCTATGCCCTGGAAGACGTCTGCGTACTCTTTAAGGACGCCGTCTGTGTCTGTGCACGGTTTTGCTTCTTCCTCAGCCACAGCCAGTATCAGTTTGATTAATTTGAGATCTAGACTAGCTCTCATTCCCAGGATGGGGGGCGCTTTGGTGTCTACTATGTAGAATTCGAGTGTAATGGAGGTGTTTTTGTACTTGCACTTTAGACGACAGGTGCCCTTCACTTTCAGGAACTCACCACCATAGCCGGAGATCTTTTGGGTGGTTGGTTTTATGACAGTATCTCTAAACTGTCTTTCGAATGTATGCACGGGAATTGCATTGGTCTGCGCGCCAGTGTCAATTTTAAATTTAACTTTCTGAGTCCCGATTTCAATTTCAGCAAATGCTTGTTCGTTACATTTCCCTGTGTTTTCACTTGTAAGTCCGTCAATAAAAAGTTCTACTTGCTCATCTTCAGTGTCTTCATCCATGGTGTGAATCACTTTCCTTGTGTGCGTGTTTGTGTGTAGTTTTGACTTACAGACTTTTGCAAAGTGATTGAATTTTCTGCACTTCATGCATTGTTTTCCTTTTGCTGGACAGGCGCCTTCTTTGGTGATATGCAGGCCGCCGCATCTATTACATTCTTTTTGAGCTGTGGCGGCGGGCTCTCTCGGCCTGGCTTTGTAACTCGTGCGCGTTTGTCTGTGCTCCGGTCTTCGGGCTATGGCGTGTACCGCGTCGTTGTTGGGGTATTTATTTCCCACCATCTCTTTAAGTTGGACTTGTGCTAGCTCGTGTGATCGCGCAATGTCGATGGCTTGATCTAGCGTTAGCTCCGCGCCGTGGCTGAGTAACTTCTCCCGCACTCGCGGTGAATTTACTAACAGCTTCAATTCCGTAACAAATTGTTCGAAAGTTTCCCCATCCCCTTGCATTTTCTCATGGAAACGATATCTTGCATATATCGGGTTAGACTTTGGTGTGAGATACGCGGTGTACTTATCGTAGTATGTTTGTAGTTTCTTCGCGTCCTCGTCTGTTAGCGTCCATGTGTTGAAGATGTCGCGCCCTTTTTCCCCGATCCATAAGAGAAGATAGCTGCATTTGTCCTGTTCGCGCTTTTCTCGTAGAGGTCCGGAGAATATTAGCTCCGCGTGCTGTCTGAAACGTCGCCACGCTTCTGGTAAGTTAGCTGACTCCCAATCCATCTTGGGCGCTGGGACGCCGAAACTATCCATGTTTCTGTCGGACGTGGGTGCTAGCCTCTACTCTGACACCATGTAATGTTTGCTCACTGGCTAAAACATTTTTATAGAATAACTGGATCGGACACAGACTCTTAGAACTGTCCACTTCCTTTATTCACATCCTAGCAATCCGCAATGACAACACTAAGTCTCGCGATTCTCGTGAAGCTCGCGGGACTTGCCACAGGGCTACGGTGTCCCTTTTGGGACATACAGTCAGGATGTTACAATGGCGTCTAGCTCCTCCTCCTCTGGACGTCTCATGGGGCGGAGGCAGAGTACTGTGGGTGTGGTTAGATATTCTAGCATCACCCATCAGGCTCAAATTGCATTCGCTCCTCCTCGCTGGATGACTGGATGTGTGCCTGCAGTGCGTAATGAAAACTACCAAAAAAAAAAAAAAAAAAAAAAACATAGGCTACTCGCACTGCAAAGTTTTATCAATTACTTTATTTGTGTAATTAAAACAGCTTTAAAAAGACATTTTATTTGCATTCTTTCATTTTTAATTACAAAATAATTACTTATGCTCTGAAACACAGACAGGCCTATGTTTGATTGAATAAAAACGACATAAAAGTAATATCATAATATAAAGTTCTGTAATATAAATCCATATATTCAAAATATAGTTGTCAATTATAAATCTAGTTAAATCTTTCCAAAATTTCCAAAGCCAAAATAAAGTTCAGCCAACATATTACAAAAATAACTCTTCAAAACAATCTTTTTTTTTTACTTTAACAAGAAAATGATTTATTTTTGTAAAAAGTTTAAAGTTATTTCCTTAACTTTATTTACTAATAAATATTTATTTGGTAAATTCCAGATGGCCACCCATAATAAACCTTCCACCAGTCTATTCCAATAAACAGTCCAGTTTGAAATGGTGACAGCATCTTTTTGAAAGAAAGAGAATAATAGTTTTAAGATTTAAAACTCTAGGGGCAAAGAAAGTTTCCCAATTGCAATATCAAATAAAAGCAAAAGAGGGCGCAAACGGTTCAAACTCCATGGTACGAATCAGATGTGGCATGTTAGAAACATGACATTTAATGATTTCAACAGAAATACATGTATTTTTTTTTGGCTTGTGTGCAATGTAAAAAATTATATGATCAGTTGGTTATGAAATATTTTTACATTGATTTAACTCATCAAAATAAGTAATGCATTTTTCAACTTTTTTACAATATAGAAGACAACTTATTTAAAGTCAGTTTATTGTAATTTAAGTTACAATTAGGCTACTTAATAAACCATACAAGTTGATAATACTTAAAAAAAAAAAAAAAGAGTTGCTGCCTTATATTAACAGTGATTGTGTGGTAGGCCTAACAGTTTATAAAAGCATTAAGGTACTTGAGGCTAAAGAGTTGCAAAAATGTATAAATCTGAATTCAAACATTAACATACAGTACTTTGTGAGATAATCGAAACATTTAAATAATTAATATTTATTCAATAATTCCTTTCAGTGGTCGAGTGTGCAGTGATGTAGTGGTGTAACGATATTTGAACCGAACCGAAATAACGCGATACAGAACTCACGATTCGAATCGCGATACTTTCATTGTGTACCGAACAAGCCCCACCCCGCCCTAACCCCGGCCCCGCCCGGCTCAATGGACCCATTGACAGTATGAATGGACCTCATGTCTTATGTGTACAGTACACAACAAATTCTGTTTTGTAGGCTAACCACCATTAACACCAAATAATAAGCTGTGTTTTGTTACTTTCGATAATCAGCAATAATAAGTTTGTCACTAACATTATATTTACCTCAACAGGCAAGTGATTCAATGTCCACAACTTTGGTTCCTATAAATGAACTCTTGCACTAAATCAATGCACTATGTTAGCCTATATATTATATTTTACTTAACCTGTAAATGATATCTTGATAATATTTAATGTATGTTTAAATATGTGTAATTACTGTGTAAATTACTTTATTTCAATAACAAATTAGAGTAAAAACACAAGTTAATGCAAAAACTGCCTTTAATGTTTAAATGTTTTCATACAATGTGTTATGTGTTGATTATTATATCTAAAAAATAAATAGAATCTGAATTTAGGTTAAAAGTCTAGGCTACAACCTTTAATGTGTAATGTGTGGCTCCCTTTATAGTTTACAGCATTAGCAGATTTTTTTTAATCCTTTAATTGTACCTTTAATAAGACTTTATATCTTTAAATTAATTCAATTATAATTGAATTAATTTAAAGGCAAAGACAATTTTAGCTATCTAAACTGAACCGAACCGAGACAATACGTCAAAACCGTGAGAAAACCGAACCGTCAGTTTTGTGTATCGTTACACCCCTTGTGATCAGTGTAAATCAGAGTGAACAATAAAAGCTTCAGACAACAAAATCAAATGTTAGAAGAACAGTTTAATCATACATAGTCACAATTCTGCTTCAAGAAAAAAAAAAAAAGAAAATCTGTTTTCCTCATCTAACATCTGGAAATGTACATAAGGCCACCTGAAAATGTACATGACTTGACAGTGTGACAAAACTCATATGTTCATATTTATATAATTGACAATATCTTACAATTATTTTGCTTACAAGTTAGTGGCTGCTCCAAAATACAGCACTCCTTTATACAAAAATAATTCTTGTCGTGTGAAATTTCCATGGTAGCAGGTAGGACCAAAGACAGCCCCATGTATTTTTTTTTAATTCATTAATTTTTAATTATTTTATTCAACTGCCACAAGTCAAAATGACAATGTCAACAGAAGGTGTCACTGCTCCAGGTACATAAAGAGGCTGACCTTTTCCAAAAACTGATTAAAAACAAAACCCTCTTGAGATTGTGATGCATAAAAAGATTTTTTTTTTTTTAAAATAATGCTTATTCAAAGAAAACTGTATACATTATATTCAAAGGGAAAGGAGTGATGAATATTCACACATCAAAATGCACATTTTGCTAATTTCTTCTTCCCCAAAAGGTGTAAAAGACATTCCATTTACAGCATTAACGTTTACAAATGTACAACTGTACAGACAAAATAAAAGCAAATCACTATGCAATTTAGCCTGTCCAACATTACAACTAGATTCTTTTTTTTCTTCTATTTAACTAATAAACTTACACTTAACTCCACATATACTACATGTATTCTACATTTATTCATATGAAGCAAAATAACGAAAGCCATTAATATATTAGCCATACAGAAAAATTGTGCAGAAGTCGGCAGCCCCATGTCCATTCTCCTGCACATTCTCCATTTACACAGTTGAACGCCGCATATTTGACCCGACCCCACAACATCTCATGTTCATCAAGTCAATTCTATCTTACACGTTCTGAAGCCAAACATCCTGGGATGACACCAAGGACAGGGACGTCGCCCATCTACCTCTAGACTTTCCTCATCTAAAACTTAAGCACCGTCTCCCCCCACACCCAAAAAACAGCAACAATTTCTTATTTACTTGTACATTAAGAAGCTATACATTTTGCCTAAGCTATACATTTTGCCTAAGCTATTACAATGTAAAAGAGATGATAATCAGTACATAACCATACTGTTTCTAGGGCAGTGTTCAAAAAAACTACTCGATCGACAATGTTCAACAAACATGACAAAGAAAAATCATTTTGTTAAAACATTAAATCCAGACATGGCATGCCAAATCTCCCCACCCCTTCATGTCTCACAATATACATATACCCCAAAATAGAAAAATTATTCCTGGTTTCATCTGTCTACCATGGTGTCGGTCTCATAGCTATATAAAATGGCAGGAGCTCTGGTGTCCTTTGACGTCATTCGAAACACAAAAACTGAGACAATAGCTAGCCTTTGTGTGGGACAGACTTGGTCAGTGGGATGTAGAGTATATTGCAGCCACACACATGCTCTTTAAAACAAAAACAAAACAAAAACACCAAAGATGGAGCAGTTAAGTAAGATGGGGAGGGAAAGAAAAGAGATGGTATGTGCAGCCACGTTCAAATGATACCACTCCCATTTAAAGGCAGCAAACTGTAGGCAGCAAGGCTCTATGATTGGTTGTGGATTTCTTAACCCAACTAACTCTCAATGGCACGGCAGACTTGACGTCTACAATCAAGTTACGTGAAGATCAAGCTGACAGATTCATTATTTTTCATCAGCAGCTTTGGCTTGTGTACCATAGTGCTAAAACAGGTCTTAAACGTACCACACTTCTTAACTGTGCCATTAAGAGGTCTGGATATAAAAACAAAAATAGAATAGGAAAATCATTAAAAAGGATCACTCAGTTTGGCCTCATAAAGTCACTTGCTGGTGTAAATTGTAAGAACTGTAAATTTTCATCAAACATTTCTTTTTCTACAGAGAATGTACAAGGTAAAAAAATGTACAAGATATTTACTAGAAGACAAAAAGAAACAGTCAGTTACATCAATTACATCATAAACAAGGGTGTTGTGCTTTACCCAGGAAACAGCTTACAGACCATGCACTCTTCTGGTGGGTTGGGGGTGATAACAACGGAGACTGCATCAGGGACTGGTCAGATGTCTCAGCGTTCTTTTCCTTTCATTTTTTTGGTAAAACCCCTAAAGGCTATGACAGAGAACTCCACGGTGGAGGAGATGCCCATAACAAATGTGATTTTGAGAGAAAGGGGCGAGGGTTGGGTGTCAGGCCCCTACATTAGGCCATTGGTGGGGCCCCCAATGGGGCCTAGGTCTGATCCGCTCTTCATGTAGTACTTCTCCAGCTTAGCCAGGATGTGTTTTCCATACGTGTATTTACGGAGAGTGGCAATATGGGGCCGGATCTGGAATTGACGACATGAATTATTTAAAAGGCATTGATCATTATTTGAATTTTTATACTGATTTGACAAAACATTCTGTGCTTGTACCTTGTGCATGATGATCTTGCGCTGGGCGGGCTCAGCCATGTCAATCATCCGTTGCACCACATAATTTGCATACTGGTCCTTCATCATAGTGTAGAGGGCACTGTGAGGGCCGTCCTTCTGACAGCAGACTTCATCGATGAGCAGGGCCCTCTCTGCACGGGACGAATGAATCACACACTTCTCTACAACATTACTGTAAGAGACAGACATGTATACAAAAAAACGGGTTTTCAGATATAAAATTCAAAAATTCTCTCCAATATTAACTTAAAAATAATAAATAAATATAAAAATTAAATGGTGCATTGTGTGTAACAAATATATTTTAAAAAACAGGGAGGTCATAATTAATTGATTCGGGAGACGTCTAAAACAACATCAGCACTGAAATTCTATATAGACTCCAATGAACAGAGCGAGTGGCATTTGAAGATGCCTGAGAGATCACTCTTACGCTTATATGCAACTTAGAATTACATCATCCTAAAGAGCAATCTGAACCTCAGAAAGAAGATGGTGGATGCTCATCTTAAGGGGGATAGCTAAACAGCAATTTCCAAGTATTCCCAGAGTGTCTAGAACAGCTTTACCTCACATCATTGCAAAGTACAAGGAGAGACATTGATAAAATAAACCTGGGTGTGGTCACAAGTGTAATATCTATTTTGGACAGAACATATAATTGCTAAACTGCCCTCTTCTGGACTTGAAATGTCAAGGAAGATTATTGTGTGGGATCTTCATTGTGGAGAGCTTCAAATACAGAGCACAAAGAAAACTACATTGCCCCGTCCAGTTGTTGCAAATTATATTGTATCTTTTGAATCCTCCTTACTATTTTCACAAATTATATTTCCAAATTAGGAAATATTAGAAGATGAATATTAGAATATTGATCTTTAATATTGAATATTAGTATTATTGTCCTGTATGCAAACTTTTAGGGTCCATAAAAAGATTGCTACAGTAAAATGGTCAGTCCTTGCCTATAGCAACAACCTTTAACGTAAGCTACCCTTAACATACGAGCCAGTCGCAGTTAGACGTGGCCGAGAACGCATGTTCTAAGATCATTTAAAGCAAAAAAAAAAAAAAAAAATGTTTCGTAACATTAAATCGATCAAAAACACCAAATAGCTGCTGTCAGAGACAAATGCAGATGTGACATATTTTGTGTACCTTTTTAAATGAAACAACAATCGAGGCACATGACTGTTTATTTGATAAGATATGCGAATAAACTATAATAAAAAACACAAAAGGCTGGGTATTGACTCAAATTTCACGATTATGATCACAATTTGATATTGATTAATTGGGGTATGTATCCCCAGTTGGTACATTACTATAATATTAAAGGTTAACATTATCGGCCTTGTATAGGCTACTTACATTTAAATGACACTTTTTCAAGTTTTTATAATAATAATAATAATAATAAAATGTTACAGTAATAACCTAATTATCTTATTAAATGACAATTATGTTTAAACTTTTAAATTGTAGTGGTCATTAAAACATGACAGACTTTTACAAACATTCATTATATATTGAAGAACAGTTGAAGTAAAAATACAATGAATATGCAATATAGAGCATATATTTAGCAAAATGCTCCTCTATTTACAGGGTTTCTGCAGAGTTTAGTCAGAGTTAAAACCATTTTATGACCAATATGATTTAACTTTGACCTACATGATAATGAAAAATAACTTCATATCAAAAGTCTTTTTTTATTGACTTTAAAAGTAATAAGTTTCATTATTTAAAGGTTCCATTTTCTTAAGAGTAACAAACTGAAGGCTCCCTTTTCCTAAGTATCAATAACACAGGAAACAACACTTTACAATTATCACAATAATATATCAGTCAATAACGATAATTATCACGATAAATGTCAAATCTTTATTTCTTTCAAGTTTAAAGGCAGATTTGCCCTCCTAACTGAAAGTTGTAGAAATCATAGCGTTTATTGTGGTTTTAAACTACTGTAATTATATTCCATTAGTCCTTTAATACAATGTCTAATAATATAATACAATTCAATATGTATATCCCACATTTCTTGGAGCAGTTAATATACTAGGCTAACGTTACAGTAAATCCGTGGTAAATGGTGGGAATTTGTAGACGGAAAAGCCTTCTTAATGTATAGTAGTTGCGCAGTGTTTCTCCTGTTTGTCAGCACCGTTTCATCTGCCTTTAAAGTGGTTTAAATCACTGAGACATTTGTGTTCTTCGCTGAATTCAAGCACTTCTCACTGGATCTCGTGAGCGAGGCC